TATTTGACTAAACTTGAGTTTCACCTATTGATGGATTTTGACCAAATTGTTAAGACATTGTCGTCCATATGCAATGTGCTCTTAAGGATACATAAATGCAACTTCAAATTTATTTTGGTGGCTACCTCAGCTCTTCTCTTTATTTCTGATATATTGTGCTTGATTAAAATGGCTGCAAAATGTAAAAATGACTTGAACATTGATAAAAAGCAACAAATTAAAGAAAAAAATTAGTTGGATATTGTGACATTTCTGTCTGAATTTCTAGGACGAGGTATTATCATTGTTTAAATTCAGACTGATGTCTTCTTTCTTGTTGCCATTATCACATTATGGCCATTTTTTTTTTTTTTTTTTTTTTTTTTTTTTTACTCTAGCCTTCTTTAGGAGGTATCTGTTAATCAAGAAATTTATGGTATGAAGAGTTATCATTATTTACATTTGCATTAATGTCTTTATCTTTGTTGTTATTATCACAACATTTCAGCCATTGTACTGGCCTTCTTCAGATATTTGTCAATCTAGATAACTTTCAGGCTGAAACATTGTGATAATAATAACAAAGATGAGAACAGTAGTCCAAATGTAAATAATATAAATAATGATGACTCTTCATACCTGAAAGTTATCCAGATTGACAGACACCTAAAGAAGGCCAGAGAGCACAATAGTCAAAAAGGTTGTGATAACAACAAAGATTAGGACATTAGTTCAGATATAAATAATAGTGATATTGCTTTAAGAAATATAAATGAGTTATTTCTCTTGTTTACTTCTGCTGTATTATTTTTGTATTTTTTGGGTGTTTTTGCAAGATTACCAAGTAAGAAAATTTATCTTGTCTTATTGACAAATTTTCTTTTACAAGTTTTTATGATCCCACATCTTGCATTAAATTTTTATTTCCTTCATTGAAATTTCTGTCCATTCTAAAAAAAAAAAAAAAAATCTTTATTTGGAAATACTGAACAATGTCAAAGTTTAACAATTAATTTAAGCACCTTATAGTAAAAGAGTGAACATATGTATATTCAAATTTACAACAGGGTTTCACATTGGGGTCCACTTAAATGCCCAGCTGCTAAATTTTGAATTGACTTTTTTTACTCTTTAACCAAACTTATTTTTATAGTCCAAAATGTCAATAACTGCTGGGCTTTTCTAAAGTAGCCAAATCAGGCAATTCTCAAATTATTTACAATCAAAATGAACATTTTTATTTTGAATGAAGAATAGACACATCCACAACTGCACCTGAGTTGCTTACATATATAGTATGCATTAAAAAAAACCCACAAGTATGCATTAAAATATTCCTAGCTAAAGATCACTTTTACTGTTGTCTTTAAAATAAATCAAAGCTAAGACAAAAATTATCTTGATTTCAATATTTTTGTTTGTGATATTTTAATCAGTTGTGGAACAGAAATAAATCCCGTATTAAAGAAAACGGATTTGTACAAATTTGAAATTAATTAAATTTTTAATTAAATTATCTTTCATCTAGAAATTGTTTTTTGTTAATTTTTGTTTTCTGCTCATTTGTTTTGCAGTAGTTTTTGTATTTCCTTTTTTTTTTTTTTTTTGTATGATATGAAATATGTATGCAAACGAGACAGAGGATGTATAATAATATATTCACTACCTCTGTCCCGTAATAGTTGGTACAGCCATACTATGAAATGTGTATGCAACTATCCCCACCTATCATGAGACAGGTTGTATAATAAAAATATCTTCTATCCTATAACAGTTGGTATATTCATAGTATGAAATGTGTATGTAATTGTCCCAACTATTATGGGACAGGTTGTATAATAATTATAATAATATAATGTGCTCTCTGTCCCATAATAGCTGATACATTTAGTCTATAAAATGTGTATTATTCTGGTTCACACTCCTCTCTGGTCTTTTGAACAGCAAATTTTAGCAGTTTACCAATTCTAATTCTGAAGTTTCTAATAAACATCAAAAATTGTTGCAGTTCTTTGATTTGGTTTGGTATAAATCTGTTTAACAAGTCAGTTTATAAATAATTAAAGTTTGTTTAAAAAGAAAAATTCAAGAGAAAATGTTGAAATTCATTTCTTTTGAAAATGCTGGATTTATTTACTCTGAAAGTTTTCTAACTCAGCCAGAACAAGTTGTAACTTCTGCTACTAACTAGTGATTGATAGCAACCTCATATACAAGGTAACCAAAAAAGTTCTGTCCGTTTTTAAAGGAAAAAAAAAGAAAATGCTTCACAGTATGTGTAACTTATATTTAGTCTTTGAAGTAATCGCCATCGGCATCCAGCACCTTCTGCCAATGTGTCTCTAGCTGTTCAATGCCCTTGTGGTAGAACTCGGGGGTTTTGACACAAAGAAGTCCGTGAGGGCTTTGCGCAAGTCTGCTTCATTGGTGAAGGATTTCCCACGAAGATGATTATCCAGGGAGTGGAAGAGGTGATAATCGGATGGCACAAAGTCTCCCACCCAAGTTGCTGTATGGTATCCTTGACCATTCGCACGATATGCAGCCTGGCGTTGTCATGGAGGAAAAGCACACCTTTGCGATTCACCAGTGCTGGCTCCTGGCGCAATGCAGCAAGTATAGGTCTCCAGTGACCATTTGGCCTGTTGGTAGCAGTTCGTAATGATCTACTTGACGACCTGTCCACCAGACACAAAGCATAATCTTGCGTGGGTGCATCAGTGGTGTGAGAGACAGCATCCTGAGGAGACAACCAATGTCTGGAACGCTTGGGAGTTTCGTACAGAACCCACTTTTCATCACTGGTAAGCACTCGATTGAATAAGGATGCGGTACGGTAGGTGCCACTCGTTGTCCCTTGTGGACCTCCAACAGCGTTTGCAGAACCCACTTGCTCAGTTTGTACATCTTACCTAGGTGGTGCAGGTGAAGTCTAACTGTTTCATCGGAAACGTTGAACTGTCTTGCAAGTTCACCACACGTTAGACTACTGTCCTCTTCAATGGCCACCTTCAGGACTTCGTCATTCAAGACCTGTGGTCATCCACTGCGAGGCTCATCATGGAAAGACAAATCTCCCGACTTGAATTTTTGAAACCAATGCCTTGCAGTACGTTCATCCACAACACTATCCCCAAACGCTTGACATACGCAGCAACTTGATGCAGCTGCTGATAAGCCCACTTTGAAGTCGTAAAGCAAACAGGCCTGAATCTGAATCTCTAGACACTTCCATCCTTCTCACAGCTGTCTGGCTTATAACTGATGGCCAGCCATGGTGCGAGTGTTTTTTATAACGTCTGATGTTCCTACTTCCGGCTGTCCGAATTTAAAAACAATTGCTACACGCATTTTATATATATTTCAACTTCATTCAATGACTAATCAAAAAATGGACAGAACTTTTTTGGTTACCTTGTATTACAAAATTGTAGCACTACTATGGGGTCTTGCTACTAACAATATACCATTCAACTGTTTGTTTCTTCTCTCTTCTACATTAAATTTTCTAAGTCTGTTTTGTCAACTGCTTCTGTAGTAATTTCTTTCTGAATTTCTGGGGTGAGGAGTAATCATTATTTACATTCAGGATATTGTCCTTATCTTTGTTGTTGCTATCGTGTTTCAGTTGTTGTGCCCTCTGGCCTTCATGAGGTGTATATCGATCTGGGTAACCTATAGGGAGTTTTGAACTGAACCTTTTATTTAATCTATGGGACAATAGACTAGTGGATTAAAGCATTGGTTTGTGTTATATACCTATGAACACTAATGGGTATGTCCCAATCCTCATAAATACTTTGGACCCTATTGTGAGGGGGTAATATGGTGTCTAAGTAGTCCACCACTACCAGTGGTTTACCTACTTCACACTGCTGGCAAGTATTGTATTTTGTTGATGTTATAAAGATTATCATTTCATTTCCAACCTCAGTTTTGATTATTCCTCATTCAGTAACCCTTCCTAAGTTACAACAGTTTGTGAATTTGGTGATATAGTAATTGTGAGTTCAATCTGTGGTCTGGGTAGTGTGTACTTGAACTCCATGTAAACGGGTGAGCAATAACTGAGCAGTACTAAAAATAAGAACTAGACAAGATATTCTTAGACATGGAATGTGATCTGAGAAAGCAGTTATATACAGCTGACAGTTTTAGAGTAAAAAGATTTTAACTAATTGATACATTGGGTTAGGTGAGACTCTATACCCAGGTGAGTATTCTGACCAAAGAAAATATGGAAATTGGGGTAAAAATAAGACAGGAACACAAGGTACAGGATTAGAATGTTTATTAAACATGACTAAGAAAAAGCGTAAGAAATAACAGTTAATCTACAAAATGGTAAGTAAATGAATTCTACAGAGTGGTCCGAAAGTCTTGTCCCCTTGTACATCATAATATAATTTTCTATTTCAGATGGTTGTCACACGCTCCTACAGTTTAGAAGAGAGGGTTAGGGTGACATGACTTTCAGATCACTCTGTACTTTCATTCTGTTGTTAATTTCTTCCCTAACCTTATTTAAACTTTTGAGATAAATAATATTTACTCGATTACATAATGTATTTTATAGTCAGTATGAGTACATGCCCGTTAAATGCACACAGTTACTTGGTTGTCAGATCTCTGTCTCAAATCAAAATGAGTCTTTTTTTTTCATTTTTGGAGAGCTCATGTGACAATTTTTGGGAGGAAAACATTAACTGCTGTTGATATTTTTTTTGTGCTTACAGATATTATTTTTGTATATGGTAATGCCCTGATATAATGCTGACAGTCCTTCTAGAGGACAAAATAAATTACATAGTATTTTTCCCCACTTTGTCATTCACTTGCCTAACCTTGTTCTGATATATAGAAATGTATATATATCATATTCTTTGATGAAATTTTATGAAAAAAAATATATATTTGGATACTTTTTTCACTTCTCTATACACAAACACAGAATTAAACTTTGTATTTTATTTAATTCCTTTTTACTATAGAAGAAAACATGTTGGTAAATATTTGAAAGACTATTTCTTAGAAAACAGTTTTAAGTTAAACTGCATTTTCTTAATGTGCTCTCTTCCAAGTGATGCTGCCATTATCAAATTTGTGAAAATAGAAACGGATGCAAATGTGTAGAGAGGGAATTCATAAGAATCATAGGTGCTGATCAATACACCTGTAAAGAAAAGAAAAAAAAATTGATATGTTTTCTACATCTTATCAACTATTGCAGGTTATTTAAAGCCAGAAAACATTTTTAGATTGAAAGAATGTTCTGGCGATAATGATTTAGTGATACAAATCCTACTAATTAAATCATAGCTGGTGGGAGAAGAGGTGAATTCATACCTAATTAGAATTTGATAAAGAAACAAGAAATTATAATGTGGATATAAAATGGGGAATCAATTCTATATTACAATCAATAAATAAACTGATCACTCACTTTGTGGCCACAGTGATTTCTATACATTTATATTCCAGAGGATGTAAATCTAAAAGACAAGTCTAGCTAATCAGTATTTTATTCATTGATTCATTCATTCGTTCATTTTCTATGGCTTATCAACCTTTGCAGGTTATTTGAAGCCAGAAAATATTTTAAATTATAAGATTTTATTTTATTTTATTTTTTTTATTTTTTTATTTTTTTTTTTATTTTATTTTTTTTTTGAGATAATTATTTAGCGATACAAATCCTACTAATTAACCATAGCTGGGGGGAGAAGAGGTGGATTCATATCTTTCCAAAGGGTATATTCACATAAGTGAATATAATGAGCCTGTATGGAAATGGAACTCAGCTCTCTAAATTCTGAGCCATTACCCCTTTCACCACCTGCACACCCAAGTTTACAGCACCTGGTATTCTCAAGCAGTCACTTGTCTAGGCACTGACTAGGCTCAATGTTGCTAAATTTTGGTGATCATATGAGAACTAGTGTTTCAACGTGACGTGGCTATAAGCCTAAAGATTTAGTTAGATTTTATTAACAACTAATTACAATGTTGCCATTTTGAAAGTTATAAAAGAATTAATATACAGTTTATGGAAAAAGATGTGAGTAACTTCAGGAAGCATAAATTTAGGTAACGCACCTTTTCATAGACAAATAAGAAATCTGTTTTGATTTTGTCGATATTTTCTTTTGGAGTGATTGAAAAAATAATAACAAGGAGACAAAAATTTCACAATCTCTCAAAATAAATAAAAATTCAAGACTATGTTTAACCTTGTGCCTGCAAAAAGAAATGGTGTGTCAAAAGGATGGTTATTCCCTTGACACCACTATTACTGTATGCATTTTTGACTCCCTTGGCAATGTTTGTTTACAAGATTATAAACATGTGTAAACCAAGTACAATGTGATATTTATTATTTACCATTTTATAAGGAAATAAATTTGAAAAATAATCTTTTTATTCAAAAATTTATTAAAAAAATTACAAACTTATCAAAATATATAAACTAACTACAATGCAATATTATTTACCATTTTAACTGTGAAAACAAGTTTTTTATTCAGTCTAATAAATAGTGTTTAATATTTTATCAATTCTCAAGAATAAAGAAAATGTATAAATCCACTTTCATATGTTTGGGTTTTATTAAAATTCTAATCATGTCTTTTTAAAATAATAAACATTGTTAAGGTAGTCAAAATTGTATGCAATAATAGCAGTGTCAAAGGAATAACTGTCTTCTTTTGGCACTTTTTTTTTTTTTTTTTTTTTTTTGCAGGCATGAAGGTTAAAGATTTCCAAATTCAAAATTGCTAGGCCACAATGTCATATTTCCAACGATCTCAACAAGGATATGATAGTATAGTTATGTGATCAAATCAGAATTGATTAATTAATTTTATCCATTCTCTGATGCTGCAGTCCTTGTAATGTTACAAGGACTGCAACATTGGAGAATGGATAAGTCACTTATGTGTGACTGTCAGTTATGCATAGGCACGCACATATGCATACTTCCTTCTACCATTTCCACAGGCATCTGATGTACAGTCCTGTGTTGATACAAACACATATATAGTCTATTCACCTCTAGGAATCACTCTCTCCACTCGTCAGGTGGTATCAGCAGTTATATGTATATATGGTGAACTCTCCCATCATATTCAACATATGAGGGTCAGCAACTCAGTTCCTAGGAACCGACAGCCAGACACCAGCACATATGATTTGTTTATAGTGGTGAAGGTTTTGTGCAGAACCAACCACACTTTTTGAAGGGCTGAATACAGAGACATGGTGCATTACATGTCACAAGGTCCCCAGACAACCTTCCACAGGTTTTGAATTCAGAATTGTCCTTCTCCTAGACCAGTTTCCATCCAGTTGGAGGGAGAAGAGGATTCATACCTTTTCCAAGGCTATTAGCACGTAAGTGAATGTAATGTATTCAACTGGAATTCGAACTCGGCTCTCTGAGCCCTCAGTCCAAGCTGCTACTCATTACCTCCACCATGCTTCCTCCGTGTGTGTGTGTATACACATATATATATATATATATATATATATATATGTCAGTGCCTTTAAGCCATGCACCAATAAACCACAATGTCATTTAAGCCGCACATGTGCAATGGACCCAAGCTTTTTTTGTCATGTTCATATTAGAATCATAATCATCCTTGGATCCCAATTTGAAACAAATTCAAACTTGATTGTGACACTTTTTAAAGTCTGATTTTTTTTTCTGTATAATTATTCTAATAAATTCATTAAATTGAGTATTAATACCTTCATTAATACCTTGAGAATACCAAGTGTTGCACACCAATAAACCAGAATGTCATTTAAGCTGCACATGTGCGATGGACCCCAAACTTTTTTTTGTTGTGTTCATATTAGAATCATAATCATCCTTGGATCCCAATTTGAAACAAATTCAAACTTGATTGTGACACTTTTAAAAGTCTGATTTTTTATGTATAATCTTTTATTTTAATTAATTCATTAAAGTGAGTTTTAATACCTTCAGTATATCCGTATTTTCCCCCAGGCATTTACTGTTGTTTAGACTTTGGCATTTCACACTCATGATTGAGTAGTGGTTTGGATTAGCACTTCACAGACTTTCTGAATGTGAAATATGCAGCTTACAACCTTTATTCTAAATTTAAAATTTCACATATTTACTCAACGAGATTTGCTTTAATATTGATAATGTGCTTTCCAAATAATTTATATAATCTGCAGAGAAGAGCCATTTTAAATCCTGCTTTAAGGATTATTAATGGAGGCCACCATTGCAACCAAATAACACCTTCAACAATTTCAAAAAGTTCATAAATCCTCTCATATTAAATTTTTGTATAAATACAGGTAAAAATTAAAGTTTTGCACTGTGTCTCTCTAGATATAACGATTACAACATTTTTATACCTTGATATTAACCCATCATCATGAAATGAAAAACATGCCTCATACAGTGTTCAACAAAAGCTAAACGTTGTTGAAAGCATACGAAACAGCACTGCTTGCAGCAAAGTCTCTAAAGAGATGGGTGTACCAGAATCTACATTGAGAGGTTGGATCAAAAACGAAGAAAAGCTATGAAGTTTTTTAGCTAAGCTAGATGAAGGAGGCTATATTATTATATATATTATTATTATATTTTTTTTTTTAAATGTATTGTAATGTTTTTAGTCTAAATCTTAAAACTATAAAAATTTATTTATTTTTTTCTTGTTAAAATCTGATGCATACAAGATTTCAGCCATCTTTTTCTGTCATCAATGATGGATCTTTATAATTGGAATCATTTTAGGCTGTCGTCTTTCAAATTTATTCACATTGGTGCAGATTTTTATGTGAAGTTAAAGGATAGTTTTAATAAATGTTTTTTTCAAGACTTCTAATATTCAACCCTTAGAATTGAATACGCATTTTGCATGCTTAGTCACTGTGTTACCCATTTTCGTGGACAACTCTATGGACTTGACAAGAGCTTTGTTTTGGTGGTCTAAGCTGGCAATCCTGATTTTTGATCTAAACCACAGACAGAAGTTTTGGACTCCAACTACCATGGTTTATCATCAGTGTATATATATATATATATATATATATATATATATATATATATATATATATATATATATATATACACACACACAAACACTCCCAGACTATCTCTCATATGCAGTACTCTTGACCCTATAATTTATCACTTTGTTCATCTGTATATATACTGTGTTATATAAAAATTTATAGCAAACTTGAACCTTCCTGTCTGCAGAAAAATGGTGTGTCAAAAGAACAGTTTTTCCCTTGACACTGCTATTATTTTAACTACCTTCATTTCTCAGCAATGTTTATTGTTTTAAAAAAATGATGATTAGAATTATAATAATAAGAATAAAACTAATAAACACTATTAGATTGTTTATTTACACTATTATATTGTTTATTGGAATGGTTAGCAAAACATTGGCTAATTACCAATTGATTCAAACTTTATAAAATGGTAAATAAGGATTATCTTTTAGTTGGTTCATATATTTTAATAATTTAGTAACTGCTTATAAATTTATGAATAAAAAATTGTTTTCATATTTATTTCTTTATGAATTGGTTAATGATAAATATTGCATTAGTTTTAATTGTATCAGTTTTTATTTTTAAAAAAATTTTTTAATAATGTTTAATGTTTTTGTTGTAAATTTTCAATGTCAAAAACAATGTATAATTTTTGTGTTTAGGTTTTATTCCATTTCTAATCACCACTTTTTAAAACAATAAACATTGCCAAGTAATGATCTATGACATTCATTGAGTAGCCTTTTTTTGTCATCTTTTACATTTTTGGATTTATTGGATTTATTCTTGAAATAGTAAAATTTTGAAATTAGTTTGGAAGCAAAAAACCTGCAGAAATTAGGTATTTCTGTATATTTTTTCATATGATTTTTAAAACTAAATCCTCAAAAATTGTTAAAAAATATGAATTTAATTTTTGGTTGCATCACATATCACATCAAATGCCAGCTTCCATACTGAATGCAATGTTGATTTTCTAAAAAAGTGAAAATCAACCTGCCCTAATAGGGAAGTACTGCATTGCAAATGGATTGCTAAACTTCATTTATTAATATCTATAATAATAATAATAATTACCACAATCATTATTATTATTATTGGTTTCTAGTTCTAAAGAGCCAAAATTCAAAGTTGTAGTTGGAAGTGCCACAGATAGAAGTTGGTAGGGGAACACAGACAAAATGTCATATTGCAAACATCATGATTTGCGGCATTCTTTTTAATCAAATTCATCTCAAGCAAGACAGTAAAGTCACAAAGGTTTACTGGATGTGGAAGAATTAGAAAACAGAAACAATACTAAGGAGAGAGGACAATAGAAGAGGAATTAGGGAGACAATAGATAGCAATGGTAGTGTGGGCACAGACTGGGACACCCACTTCAACAACCAGCGGCAATATTGACCAGCATAGGAATTGAACCGGGACGAACCATCAAGAAGTTTCATATGGTATTGTTTTCAAACCCCATAAAATCAACTCCTAGTTTATTTGAATCTAAAAATACTTTGTTTTAGATATTATGTATTGTACTCAGAGAATGCCAGTTTATTGACCTCACAGAATTGAAGGTGCTTATTCTGATTTTCTTTTAGTTCCAGCTGATTGTCTTCGAATTTCTTACCTGATATCAATCCTTGACAAATAATCACGATTCCATTGATTGTCTCCGAGATTCCCATTGCTGAGCTGTACTTTTGACGGCCAATAAGTTCCAAAATGACAAGAGAATAGAGGCCAATAGGAATTCCCATCAATAGGCCCATCATGATGCAACAGGCAAGAAGGGGAGTGAATCCAGTGACTAATGTAATGATGTAGCTCATGATTGCAAAGCCTAAGGAAATTACTATGAAGATATACTCAAAGTTCCAGCCAGTTAATTTCAAAATGATTCCCATAATTAACCTGAAAAAAAAAAAAAATCTTTTTTTATCAATTTCTCCGATAACAAAAGATGCCTTCCAAAAGCTAAGCAGAGTATTAAGAAACAGAAAAATTTCATTAAAACGAAAAAAAAGAAAAAATAGTACTAAACTAATATATAATATCAGTCCTACTATATGTTAGGAAATGCTGGACTATCCCCACCCAGAATATTTAATAGTATATTTTAGAGTGTGTGTCTGTGTGTGTATGTATTTATTATCAGGTTGTGGCAAGCACATTGTTCGTCTGTCACTTGTGTAACAAGTCATGTAAGTCTTCAGCTGGCCTGGCAAGTCACTTTCAAAGTCATGCACAAGAGAAGTGCAAGGTGCAAGCCATCATCTGTTAAGATGTGGCGGATCATCATCATGTATTGAGAGAGAGTCATGTAAAGACATTGTACCAGAGTACTGACCAACTATGAAATCAGTACCAGATTTACATATAAAGTAGTATGGACTATAACCCATGGGCCCCAAGACTAGAGGAGCCCCTAAGGGATCTCTAGTCTTTGGCCCCTGATAAAACTAAAAAAAAATGTTAAAGATGTAAGAACAGAGGAGATTTGTTTATTTTTAAATTGAATGGGGCTCCTTTGAACTAATTTGAAACAATTTAGAGTATTTGGGCCCCTCTAGCTGGAGTAGATATTTTAAATATGATGGAGCCCTTTTGAAGGGACCCCATTTAGAATTTGATGCATCTTTTTCATATGCATATAGATTTTTGATGGAGCATTTTTAGTTTTACATAATTTTGTCTACTTTGCTCAATTTTTGTGCAATGATACACTTTATTGAACGTAGATTTGTAATAAGAGCAAAATTGCACAATATTGTACAAATTAGGCAAAATAATGCAAATCAAGATAAAAATTAAAAAAGGAAAATATTAAAATATTTGTAATGTTTATGAATTTTGTTTTAAAAATTAAAAGATTTTTAGTAAAAAGGTTTTTGTAACTTTTAAAATTTTGCATATAATTGTTTCTGAATATAATTGTTCTCCATTTATCAGATTTATTATCACATAATTTCATGGTAAAAAGAATAAAAATATCTTTTTTTTTATATAGACAAGATCTGGAGCCAACATACGTAATGAAAGAGCCCCCAAATTCTGTTAACTCAAATAGCCTCTTGAGGCCTAATTCAGGCTCTGTATGAATATGGCATTAAATACTAGCAATTCATATCATGTTCGTGGAAAAATGTACAAGTCAACAAGTGAGCTGCAAGGACATGCAACCATTCAGAAAAATAATTCTAATGAAAACAAAATGTGTGTCTCATGTATACCAACTTCAAGCCAGAAGTTTCAAAAGTATGCTTGGTTGAAACAGCCATATTCATTCAAAGCACAACTAAGTGTTACAATGATGTGATGGTCATACCCAACAATTAGGTGGCAACCATCATATCATCATATGTACTACACACACACACACATATAAACACACACATATCAGGTGTAACAACAAAACTGCCCATTTGTTAGATTAAGCTTGGAACTGTTATATCTTAGAAATGATTAAAGATGTATTACTGGAATTCACCAAGTTTTTTATAACACTATTGAACTCTAATTTGAGCAATAAGAACGTATAATCACTCTCTAAGTTTAACAGAAGAATCGTGATGAAATTGATCATGAATGATCATCATTAATTAGCTAAGGATCAGATGCTCATGAAGGATTGAAATAAAGTTCAAATATATATATATATATATTATTCCATGATCATTTTCCACCTTATTCAAGATGATCTTTGCTCTCTCTATCCTTCTAATTTTCTATCCTAGAGTAACAAGATGCCTCACATGTTTCATGTACAATTTCATTTTCAAGTCTTTTCACTGCTCTTTGGACTGTCATAAGTGAACCTTCTCTCTCACGTGCCAAACATCTTATGAATTGAGTTGAATCTTTTCTAATCGATCTCTTTAGCTCTAAGTTGAAATGATGATCCCTCTTCCTGTTTTGACCACCTGATCCAGTTTTTCTCCCTACTGTTCCCTCTTTTTTAAACTTATTCACTGTTCTCTTGATGGTTCTTGAATGGACTTTGAAGATGGAAGCCAAAGTATGAATGTTGATACCATTACTGAAGGCCTGAATGATCTTTTTCCTCGCACCATTGCTCATTTTGGGAAGACAATGGGGCTGAAACAAAATTTTAACCTGTTCTCTTTCTAGCTGAATAACTGAAAGGATTTTTTAGTGATTCTTACGACAAATCATGTCAAGATGGCTAAACAACTTATCTGAAAATGTGGAAAAAGAAACTCAATTATTTTAGTGTTTTTTTAAAGATATTATCTGGGAATTGTTCTGACAATAAGTGCGACGTTGAGATCTGAAGGCATATTGTGATGGCCAAAGACACATTCCAAAAGCTAGACAGAATATTACAAGACAAGAAAAAGAGTACAGAACTGCTATGTGTTATCTGACCTCCTTTATGGCAGTGAATGTTGGATGGTTTCCTCAAAGATAAAGAAGAGTCTTGAGGCATTGGAGGTAGGGTTGTACAGAAGGATGCTAAAAATATTATGGACCGTGTGTGTGAGCAATGATGAGGTTTTGGAGAGAATGCAAACAAGGAGGAAGTTTATACTTAACATCAGGAAGAGGCAGCTGAAATTTCTGGGACACCTAATGAGAAAGGAGGGCTTGGAGAATCTGATACTCACAGGGCAAATAAGGGAAAGAGACGTGAGACATACCTAGCAGGCTTAAGCAAGTGGATGACAGAACAGGGTTGGGGAGAAGTAGCAAAGGGACAAAACTTATTGAGAGCTACAAGGGATAGGGGAAAGTGGAGGGCCATGATCGCCTACGTCCGGAAGGGACACAGCACATAAAAGAAGAAGAAACATTTTGTAGGATGAACAATTAAGCTGTTACCCATTTTGGACAATTTTGTTGTTACATGCAAGATACATACATATATATATATATATATATATATATATATATATATATATATGATTTATAAACAATCCTCACACTTGCTCCATATATGGCCTCCTTTGTAAATCACTAGCGGGTCTTAAATGCCACTTAAGATTATCGCACAAACTTTCATAACTGAATCAATTAAGTTGTCAGATCCTCATACGTCGAAACTGATGGGAGAGTCCATTATTATTATTATTATTATTATATATATAAAATTAATTAACAAATCGGAGTCTTCAGAAAGCCATGGTAATATTCTATACTTTGTGAGACCTTGCGGGTTCAAAACAATGTGGTTTTTTAAAACAAAGACTCATTGTTTTGGAACCACAAGGTCTGATGAAGCAAAACTGAATTTTATCAGTCTTGCAAAATATAAAATATTACCATGGCTTTCTGAAGTCTCCAATTTGTTAATTAATTATTATTTGCTCTGTTTACTACTTTGAGCTCTCAGGATTTATATCCTCCCTGGAATTATCTATATGGATTACCAATTAATTTTATATATATATATAATACAAGTAAAAAGGTTGTCACTTAGCTGATTCATATTACCTTGAGCATCTCAACTCCAGAGTTTTGTAGACCCTCAGGTAATTACTCTGTTTACTCCTCATGGAGTATCAGCAATTGACTGCTTATACTTTTTCTTTTTTATATGCACTTTTTCATTGGTGCAAGTTTTTTGTTTTTTTTCATAGTGTGCATCTATGTGCATATGCACGTGTAGAATGCTGTGATTATTTGTCCTTTTTGTTGTTTTTTTCTTTTTCACTTTACACTCATTCCTTAATTTTTCCTCTCTTATTTTTCTTTTCTTTCACTTGTTGCCATTTGACTTCCTGTGTTCTAGACATGCTGTTGTTGTTAATTTTTGAGCATATACCTATTTTCATTAGTAATATTGCTGCTATTCACTGGCATTAATTATGGAGAGAGCAGTCTGACAGGAACAAATCACCTATCTCTTTCCATTTCTCTACCAGTCTTGACTTTCAAAGCTAGGACCCACCATGCCATGCACATTCCCTTTGTATTCCTTTGGTAAGAGGTAACTTCCACTCAAGCAGCTTCTTCCCATAAACTGCTGCCTAGTGAAACTGACTCCCAAGAGGGTGCTTCCCCAATCACTACAATCTTAACCTATTTAAGTTTAGTATTAATCGTTACCTTCCACACATATCTGTATAAGATGTGCCTCTGTAACTCTATACCTTGAGTAGCCCTTATGATTTGTATGGGATGAACATTGTTATAAAAAAAAATATCTTATCCTTTTCTTGTGATGAGACTAAATCAAAATGGCTGGGAGTGAAGTCATTTTTCTTCAGCTAAATTTCAGTCTAGCTTTTTTTTTTTTAATCATTTCACCCCAAGCAAGGTGATAAAACCACTAGGATGCAAATGGTTACTGAGAGTAAAAGAAATAGAAAGTACAATAAAAGAAGAAGATTGAAGGAGAGAGAAGATGATGGTTAACATCACATTAAAATTTTTAAAGATCATAGCTAGAAGGAAAGCAAGAAGCTGGAAATGTGTTCAATGAGCAAGAAGTGGAGAGAAAAAACCATTAGCTTAGAACTTATGGTTATAACTAGCAATTTCAAGTGAAATTATGAAAGTATGAGACCTATCTGCCAATCTAGTATTTCTGAAGTTGAGATACCAATGAGCAAAGCTCATCAGAACAATAACTATGAAAATATTTATAGAAAAGGTACAGGGAAGCCATGTGATGGTGGGGCCAAAGTGACTGAAGTCAAGTGAAGAAAAGGAAAATATATTTCTCTTAGAAGGAGAAAGTGAAAGAAACAGAGAAAATGTTATTAAGGTGAGAGGATAATAAAAGAACAAGATTCAAAAAGACATTCAAATTTTTGAAGATTGCAATTGACAACAAAGTAAGAAAATGCAAGAGAGTTCTACAGGTGAAAAGCGTGAAAAAAAGAAACTATTAGAATAGAATTTATAGTTGTATCTAGTTATATCAGCATTAAAATGATGAGACCTAATTGCCAATTTAGTACTGCACTTAAATTTGTGAAGTTAAGGTATGAAAGAGGAAAGCTCATCAGAACAAGTTTCATGAAATTATTTATAGAAAATGTACAGGGAAACTACATTATGGCAGTGGTAAAGTAATTGAAGCTAAGATGTCAAGTCAGGACTAGTAACATTGCAGATTCATTTTTTTGGATTTTGTTAAATATCTCTAGATACATAGCAGAAACACCAGCCCAGATGTGACAGCAACATTTAATGCACGGATGAATGGTAGACTTATAAAGATGCAAGATGGATTCTGGTGAGAAAAATTGTTTAACATGACACGGTGAACTGACTTTTCTAGCAGCAGACCTTAGCAATTCATTTGCTATAATTGTTTCAATTGATGTCAGGTGAAAATGTTAGACCGAGAAAGCACAATGAGTTATTATCCGGGAGGTTAGCATCATCCATATGCATGCTGATGGAAGGCAAAAAAAAAAGTTTTTTTTTAAGATGATTAAAAATGAGCAATTTCATATTGGAGGCATTAAAAACAACAAGAGTACTACAGGTTAAACATGTTTGATGATTTCTAAGTCTAAAAGCAAATAAACAGACATAAGGACTGACTTACTTTGGTGGCACTGACGTGATGAACATGATGGAGTATGCTTGTGCAGACATTGATAAACTGAAGCCCTTGCTGAACAAAAAACTGGGTAAAATGGTTATGAATATGTTCATAAACCCCATAGTGGTTGACATTGCAAATAAAAAAACATTAAAAAGCAGATTCTTGAAAACACTGGCATCAAATAATTTCTTTGGGGTGTTGACATTTTCTGGAAGTTGGACGATATTTTTCCTGGTCATGTTTTCAGCTTTCTTTTGACAGAACCAGAGAAATATTCCACAAGGAATGACATTGAAGAAAATGCCACTAAAAATCAAGAGGGTACCACGCCAACCATATAGGTCAACACAGAAAGTGATGAGGAAAGGAAATACAATGGCTCCGGTCGGTCCAGCTGTAGCCAATATGGAAAGAAAGACAGGAGCTCGGTTGCCAAAGTAGATTCCAACGAAAACTGCATTTGTAACATAGATACAACAACAACCAATACCTAAAAGAAAACAAAATATAAAGCAAATATAAATACAGTTTACCAACAGATTGTAGAAATATCAGGGATCGGTCCATAGACCGATCCCTGATATTTCTACAATCTTACATAAATGCAGAATGCACTTTGCAATACATTCTTGGCAAGCAAAACAAAAACTTGTGAGTGATCTACTATTCTGGACACCTAACCATGGAGGAAGATGGGTTGATCGCCCAGTAACCACCTATATTGACCACCTTTGCTATGACACAGAATACCTCCCTAATGATCTTCCAACCTTGATGCAGAGTTGACAGTTGGCATGATAGACTCATAAATGTCTGAGCTAACTTGAACAAATAAAAGAAATATATATTTTATTTTTAACTATTATTCACCCAATGCAAGACTCAAGAGCAACTTGTGGTAGAAGGTTGCTGAATAAGATTGTATGAACATAGAGGAGGAGGTAAGAAGTGCAGATTATGAAGATCTGGAGGAAAGATAATGGTTAACTCTTCAATTGAAGTGGAGAAACATGCTCTCAAGAGTCTATTCCAATAGGTAACAGTTATCATAAAGTAGCTGTTTGAATAGAACTTCTTCTTTACCAATGGAATATGAAAGGAATGTGTATGATTCCACACCAATGTACATTGCATGGTGGGTCCTAGCTGTGAATGTCAGAACTCGTTGAATTAAAGAATGTAGCTTGTCTAAACGTTTGCCATGGAAATAATAGTAGAGTAACAAGAAACAAGAAATATGGTTTGTTAAAGAACTAAAACACTTCTTAAAATATGTCCCTTGAGTGATGTTGGTGATTATGGCTCTTCATAGCTTCCTATACTTCATACCTTTAAGCAATGTTTTGCTCCTTACTATTCCTTCCAGCCTCTTCTGCTATACATTTACACAACCTCATTAGATAGGTTACTCACTTTTTCTCTCTACTCATCAATATGTCTTGTGAGTGTTAAATTCTCCAAACCCACTTTCCTCATTATGAGTCATAGAAATTTCAACTGATTCTTCCTGATTCTAATCAAAAGTATCTTTCCTTAAAACTTCCTCATTGATTACACGGTCATTCCATGGTATTCTCAACATCTGTCTGTAGAACTATACCTCTGTTGCCTCAAGTCTCTTCTTCACTTTTGACGAAAGCGTTTACTGCCCTATTATTGAAGGATTGATATTAGATAGTAGTTCAGCACTGTTTTGTTTCTAAGGAAATTTACCTGTTTCTTAATACTTTGCTTAGTTTTTGGAAGGTATCTTTCTCTATTCTGATGCACTATTTTTTTGTTTTTTAAGACATATTTTACTTTTACAAGTTAATTTTTTTTTTAAATTCTGAAACTATCTGTAAATGAAAAATCCACAAAGCATTTTTAAATCATAAAAATTATTATTATCTATCTGATGTTTCTGAAAGTGTTAATATAATTTTCTAAAACTTTCACATGATTCCATAAAGAACCATTTCTTGTTACAGAGAAAAAAGTAGAGTGTATCATGGATATTAAATGTATCTTTGCCAGATTTAACATTGTTAACCTTATTGGAAAATAATGCATTGTGGGATACATTTGCAATAACAGACAAATCATTTTTTCTATTACTATCATAAAAACAGTTACTGGTACAGATGGAAACATTCAAAGAGTATTTTTATTCAATTTTAAAGTTTTTCTTCTATATGAACTCATTAATATTAAGATAAAATAGTCTATTTCTAGAGAGGTGTAAATTTTTTTTGTCATTTTCTTTTTGGCGGGGTTTCAGAAATAAAAGCATATTTTTGCATGTTCTTCAAGCAAACAGAAAAGGTTTGTTATTTAAAAGAAACTACTTTATTTATTGTGATAATGAATGTCATTATTATGCCCTCAGAAATTAAATGGTTATTCTCGATAGAGGGTTACAGATGTGTGACGAAGATAATGGTTAACCCTAGACTTGAACATTTTAAGATTGTAGTGATCAAGAAAGCATCCTCTTGGGAGTCATTCCAAAAAGCAGTGGTTCATGGGAAGAAGCTGCTTGAGTGGAAATGACATCTCACCAATGGGAATAGAAAGGGAATGAGGTGAGGTTTGCTATAATATTTGTGGAAAAGCGGGTCCTAGCTGTGAAGATTATAATTGGTGGAAGTCAAGAATGAGGTTCATCTGAAAACTTTACATGTAAATAGCAATAGAGCAGCAGGAGGCTTGCAATGTTTTGTTTGTGTGGAAAGGGGTTGTAGGGTGGAAAATACATTTTTGAACTCTGTTGAGACTGGGAAGTGAAGACTGCGCAGCTCCTGTCCATATATGGTAGCAGTACAGCCTGATCTGGCTCCTGAATGTTGAATTTGATTTTATAACATATTCCCTGGTATCAAAGACACTACTTTGTTTCCTGAAATAAATCTAAAACATTTACTGTGTTTGTTGTAACCTAGGGAAGGTTATGGAACAGAATAATCAAATGAAGGTTGTAATGAACAATAATACTTAGGACAAAAACAACACATATAAGATTCACCAGCGGCACATAGAAGAAGTAGTCAACCTCTTGAAGTGAGTCAAGTGAATTCCACAATGAATCTCCAACTGCAGATCAACATACAGTATTTACTACTGTATTTATATGAATGGGGACATACCCATTATCGTCCGTAGGTATGCTACAACAATGTTCTAAAGGCTGAAATTTGTTTTTTTTTATTTTAGCTAATGTTTTTAGATATCTGCAAGTCAAAATTAGGAGTTATCCTTGAGGTTAGAATGTTGTGGCCATTACATAAAAATAAAAATAAACCTGGAGAAAGAAACAAGAACTGGATAGGCATTAACATAATTCCAAAATAAGGCGCTCTCTCTCTTTTTGCTACATGCCTTTGCTGGGATCAGATGTCAACATATGACTTTATAAACCTGAACCCAGATATGAAAGCAAAATAGAAAAGAAGAGTAAAAACTCTTACCATGCCTTCATCTAAATCACAAAACTCATCTCCTTGACTGGCATTTTATTTCTGGCATTCAAGAGAGAAATCCTGAATTTGCCTTTTGTGTAAATTGCTGTTGTTATGAATAAGTACAGGCTTTTAGTGTAGCTTCACATAAACTACAGGTCCATTCATAAAAAAGAGAGAATCCTTTTTCTTTTTTAATCATTTCACCTCCTGCAAAGTGAAAATGCTGCTAAAACACAAGGGGTTACTGAGGGTGAAAAAAAATGAGAAAAGATATCAGTGAAGTGAATAAACAATAAGAACCTGAATTTAGGAAGACAAAAGATCGCAATTGATATTACACTTGAAAGTTTTGAAGATTGTAAGTGTTGGGAAAGCAAGAAACCAGAAGAGATTTCCACATTTAAGTTGTGTGCAAAAAGAAACTATTAAAACAGAACTTACAGTTACATCTAGCAATTTCAACAGTAAAATGATGAGACCTATCAGCCAATCTAGTACTACACTTAAATTCATGTTGTTGTGGTACAAAAGAGAAAAGCCCATCAGAACAATTGTCATGAAAATATTCATAGAATAGACAGAGAAGCCATGTTATAGAGGTAGAAAAGTGACTAAAGCTGATATGCCAGGTCAGGATAACATTACAGATCCTTCTTTGGATTTTGTCAAGAATCTTGAGATATATAGCAGGAGCCCCTGACTTTATCTGGTTGCAATATTCAATGAACAAATAAATAGTAGATTTATAAATGTGTAAGATAAATTCTGGTGAGAAAATTTTTTGTCATGTCAGAGAACCAACTTTTGTAATAGTAGACCTAGAAATTGATTCAGTTTTATGAAAACCTTGAAAATATCACATTCTACAAATACACAGAGAAATTCCCTTCAATATTAATTCAATGTTATTCATTTGAATAAATTTTTCTTCTTTGTTAATTTAAGATGTTGCATACAATTTTTTGTCTGTTTATGATACTATTTTTTTCTCATTCAGAAGGGTCACTTTTCCACTTTCTTCTTATGACCTACTGTCTGTGTGTTTATGGGATGTTACCATGCTATGAGTCAGATAATTACTTTATACATTTGATAGCCCTTGTCACAGTAATGTCTTTCATGCCAAGAAATAGAGTACTTCTTGATTAAAACATTTCTATGGATATTAATATTTGTTTATATATATATATATGTATATATATATATATGAGAGAGAGAGAGAGATAAATAGATAGATTGATAATATTAGTGGTTAATATACACATACATATATGTACATATATCTAAAACACACAAATATATATACAAACGTACATACACATATATACATACATACATACATACATATATATATATATATATATATATATATATATATATATATATATGTGTGTGTAAAAAAATTCAAGAGGATAGAATCCAGGTAGAACTCAATGTCCAGGACAGAGTAAGGATATAATAAAAAGGCTTAAACACTAGTACTAGTGTTTAAGCCTTTTTATATATATATATATATATATGAAGAAATATAGTCTTAAGGTGTGCTATATTTATGGGATAAAGTGCTCAATATCAGAGATAGAGGCGTGTGTAAATATAAAAAGTGAACATAAAGTCAACACTTTTCTGTTTCATGCTATATGCAATCGTCAGGCCTGACGATTTGCATATAACCTGACGATTTTCATATAGCATGAAACAGACTGTCGCCTCTAAGGGTTGACTTTCTATGTTCACTTTTATATTTATACATACATATATATATATATATATATATATATATATATATATAAAATAATTTCTGAATGTATTTTATACTCACCAAGTAAAACACCCATTGTGAAAAGTAAAAAGATGGCATGGTTTCCAAAGACAGATATCAGAAGTGCCAAGCTTTGAAGAACTCCTCCTCCTATTATTACTGCAGAACATCCAAATTTATTGATCAGTAATCCAATCAACAAACCTTGAAAATGTTAATATATAAAAAAAGCAAAATTATATTTATAAAGTGAAACTTATATTGAAAAAGATGACATTTTTTTAACTTATTTCATATTTCTTAAAATGTTTCAGCTATATCAATATCTCTTTTTTTTACTTAAACAGAAAACAAACATCAAAAACAAAAATGCTTGCAGCTGTCAGCCATTTTATGGTTATTACTTTCTTGGTTATCAAAAAGAATGCAATTATCTGAGTAAACTTAATAAACATTCTAAAGTATAAATTAACTTTTGTTTTTGTTAGCATTTAACTTATACCTATGCACCATGAATAATTATGAAAATCTATATTAATCAAAATTTGATAAAACAAATTTTAACTTCTGTGTAATTTTATGGGATATGGAGTTATCATTATTTACACTATTTACATGTGGACTATTGTCCTTATTTTGACTGTTGTACCTACTGCCTTTTATCAGATATATGTCAGTTCAGGTAACCTACAGAGAATTTTGAACTGGACCTTTTTTTTAATCTGTTGCAAGGTGTAGAAATTTTTTAGTAAATATTTATGGGCTCCAAGTACATTTGCTCTGCAAATGATATTGACAGACTCATGTGAGTATAGGCAAAAATAACACAAAAACATTTAATTTAAACAAACAAGTATTAATAAATAAGTTAAATAGATATGTTACAAAAAGAAAAATAAATTTCATTTTGCTTTTGCAACAACCACTTCACTATCTTTCCCAAGATTGCATGGTATTTCACAGATAATAAAGAAACATCTATAGAGACAAATAATTGCCTACGTTCTGTAGAGATATTGTATGAAGAACAAAAAACAGTCAAATTACCTGCAGCACTGGAAAGGCCAATCCCAATGGCGGGTATGATGAGAATAATGGCTTTGGAATTGGAAAATGTTTTAAGCAATTCGATTCCCAATATGCTGAAAGCATTCATGAAACCCACATTACAAAATGAGCAAAAGTAAGCTGCGGAAATAAACAGATAGTCACGGATTTGTAGTGGACGTTCGCCTATTAGCGATGGACGAGAAGACCGATTTCCATAAGCCACTTCTGCCCTGTAAATAAAAAGGAAAAAAATATTACAAAAGTTAAAATGAAATTGAATTTTTTTTATTTTTTTCAAATAAAACATGTTTAAAAAAATACAATACCCTTAGTTAACTTATAGAAGGAGGGATCCCCCCCCAATCACAGAGTTTATTAAGTCCCACCATCCCATCCTTTATTAATTTCACACACCTCACTCCTAACTCAAAAAGGAAATAGTAATTATTAGAATTGGTTCAAGTTCTTGCTTGCACCCTTTTATGGTGATTTTCTAAGAGTAGCTTAGATATGGCACAAGGCCAAAAGTATGGGGCACCCAGTGAGGATCAAACTCACTATTTATCTGCAATTTTTCTAGTGGGACAGGTTCACTAACTGTTATACCATCTCAAGGTGCCCTACTTGCACCTTTTTATGATTGTATCCTTTCCAGAATTATTATGTTCTATTCTTTAACAATTTTCTTTTTTAATGTCTTTTACCAAAATTAAAAAAAACTTTTAATGCTTCCTTTATTAAAACTTCTCCTTTTACCACATTAATAAAAAATCCACCCAGCCTAATTCTTAAGAGTCACCTTTTTGTATTAGATATACACATAGAAATGGAATCTTACAATAGGATTTTTATTTGAGAGCTTCCTGATATTAAACTCAGTTATGACTAATTGAGTTAAAGAAACATATTTTAAGGCTTAATTTTCTCCTAAAATGAGCCTGTGGTTTGTATTCATCAGATTATACTCAGTGACTGATCAGCTGTGTGGAAGAATGACTTTATCCAACAAATATTTCACTTATTTATCTCAATAGATAAAGAGAAAAATTTTCTTGCCCTCCCTCCTCTCTCTCTCTCTCTCTCTCTATATATATATATATATATATATATAGATAGATAGATATATATGAATAATGCATAAAGGTTAATGGTCAGAGTTGAATCAGACCAAGAAACAGTAGTATAGTAGTGCTCAATACACATGTAAAAATAAAATTAAAAAATTAGGAGATCAGTTGAATCCGCTACCTTGATTTCAACCTTATGGCATCCTCAAGTGATTTTTATCAATTGACCTCCCAATGCTTTATTTTTAATGTACATTTATAATACCTTTGTTTTTCTTCCCTTACCCCTCCTCCTCCTTTTTCTTCTTCTTATTCTCCTTCCTTCTTCACATCCTCCTCCTCCTCCCTTTCAATGACATTCAACGTCATGCGTTTGTTTATTTTTTAAAAATTGCCTGAGTATATATATATATATATATATATATATATATATATATATATATATATAGAATAGAGTAGATAAGTTGATCAATAAAACAAAGTCAAATGAAAAGGTATTGATGAAATCAGTTCAAAAACATTTATTAATATTAACCAGATGACAAAAATGAAGCACGGAGATTGAGGTTTCAAGTTTGAAATTTTCGAACACGCGTGTGTTCTTTATCAGCGGATGCAAGAAATAAACAAAGGGATGGTGGAAACTATCCAACATTAGTTCTTGAGGTGGATAGAGTTCACTTGTAGTTGGAATTGTTAGAAAAATCCGTTCACTGTTTGAGTTCTCGCTTATCTGAAAATAACCTTAGATTTAAAAATTGTGATTGGTGGTGGGTGGAAAGGGAGGGAGATGTTGAACAGAGAGGAAAAAGGGTTATAGGACCAGGGGTGGGGACGGTGTTAGTGTTGGAAGATTTTGTGAGTTAGGAACAGTGTGGAAACATAGCGAGATTGTCAATAAAAGTAAAATGAAAGAAAAAAAAGAAAAAAGAGGGAGAGGAAAGAAATAGCACAAATAAAAGGGATAAAGAATTCTTTTAGGAAAATCATTGTTAGACAAAATGGGGGTGCAGAAAAAATAAACTGAAATAAAAATGAAGAAATAATACCAAAATACTAAAAATAAAAATAATGATAATATGAAAAGGGAAGTGAAAAAAAAAACATACACAAATAGATGTGTTGTAATTATATACATATATATATATATATATATATATATATATATATATATATATATATTGCATAAACCAATTGTTTTAGGTGGCCCCTCACAGATAAAAGTCCTAATAATTGAGGTCAGGGGAACATGTCGACCATAGCACCAGTCCTCCCCTACTTATCCATCTTTCATAGTAGATGTAGACCAGTGCATCACAATGTGACTAAAATGTGCTGGAGCCCCATTATGGATGAAGCACGTGCATTTTCATATTAGCAGAGGTACATCCTCTAGCCAGTCTGGAAGTGTGTTTGAATTAAGGTCCCTGTTGACAGCTTGTGTAAGATGTGCTGGGAGAACATATGGCCCAACCAGACAGTCACCTACAATTCCAGCCTACATATTAACCGTAAACTGATGCTAGTATCTAGCCAGTATTGTACCATAGGGATTCCGATCTGCCCACAAATGTTCGTTATGTAAGTTTGTTATTCCATCTCTTCCAAATTTTGCCACATCCATAAAACAAGACTGAAGAGACAAACAACTGATTGGCAATTTGTGCAATAAATCATCAGCAGAAGGTCTTTTGTGTTGAGTGATCAGAGGATGAAAATCCCTGCACATGATGTGGATACAGAAGCTGCTCTTGAAATACCCTCTGTTATAAAATAAAATAAGACATATCTCGGCTGATTTACAGGCAAATACTCAAGAGCGAGAACCGGATGTGAACGGGACAAAGCCCCATCACAAAATGACCATTATCTTTCTTCACAAATGTTTCCGACACACGTGTTCCGGTCGAAAAATAAAATAATATTTAAAGTGCTCTATTTTCCTCCAATAAAAATGCTTCCCTCCTAATTATACTCGCTTCGTTTCTCGAACCTGTTAAGCCATAAAAAAACGCTATAAAAGGGGTCACAGGGAAGTTCAACAGGCAGTCAACAGGTGGCCACAAAGGAGACCAGTCACGTTTAGCAGCTGTCAGCAGGAGAGCATCAACCACCGTCAACATGTGTGAACTACTATGAGAGATCGACCTAGATCCGAAAGCCGGCTTATGAACTTTACCACACCAAGGTAGCTGTCCTAAACCCTTACATTCCTGTTGAAATAAACCATGTAAATCTATTTCTACTGTTGTCGTATTTCTTTCTTGCAACCATACGCTTGTCTATAACACCTCCATGTGGTACGATGAGATGTATGACATTCCTGGGCCCACTTGATGTGTACTAATATCTGGATCATCTTTGATAGCCTGAAGAATGTGCTCTTCATGGTGACGCATACGAGTGGATCTGTCTTGCACAGTTTGTGGTGCCATGGATCCTGTCTCAGCAACATAACAATAAACAGCAGCAAAGGTTGGACGACTTTGGTCTGGAAATGCAAATTCCTACAGCCATGCAGCCTTGCGTTCCTTAACCGTATGTAAAAAATCATATCTGCCTGCTCATGATATGAATATCCTGCCATTGTTAAAGGGAATACTTCTCAGGTAACTCACTACTACACACATTAAATGTTGAAGACAGACTAGCCACAAATGTACATGAATGACAAATGTAACTTAGTCTACATGGCAACACAGTGCCATCTATTGTAAACTTAATAACTCAAAAACTAAGGATTTGTGGGCATTCATTTATATGGACTTTTATCCATGTTTTGGTGTGAGGAACCCATGTCCAAAGATACCCCCTGTATAAACAATCAACATACTTCCAATATATTGATGAAACTTTATTAATAAATCTCTGTGATTTACCAGATCTTTTAAATAAACTAAACAAAGTTGAACATACAATAGAATTTACATATGACACGAAAGAAAATATTTTACCTTTCTTAGATATCATGCTAAACCATGTTGACAGTAGCTTAAAACTTAATGTCCACCAAAAATCAACTAATAAAAATGATCTCATAAATTTCTATTCACATCATAACAACAAAATAAAATCAGGAATAATCATCAGATTTTAATAAAGAACACTTATTTACTTTTGAACAGAATTCTTCATTAGTTAATGCCGAGACTGAGTGATTTCTTCATCATTTCTAATAAAGAAAAAAAAAAGAAAAAAATGATCCCAGTTCAAAAGTTGGTACGGAAAAAAACTTATTTTTGAATCAATCATTATTTTCTACACTTAGCTTGATTTGGATCTCAACACACACACACACACACACACAACACACACACACTACCCTCAGTCTTTGTAGAAATCCCACTAAAGTTTAAAGTGCAACACAGCACCATCTGCCATAAACTTTCTTTAAACTTAATAACTCAAAAACGAAGGATTTGTGGAAATATGATTATATAGAATTTTGTCCATGTCTTAGTGTGAGGAACCTGCCCCAAACTTTGTAAAAGTATTTTTGATACACCCTATATTTAAAAAATATATTGTTTTAAGGTATGCTATATTTACGGGTTAAAGTACTCAATATCAAGATAAAGCTTATATGTAAATATATAAAAATTGCGTTTAAGCATGAAACAGACTATTGCCAAAGGGTGTTGACCTCAATGTCCATCTTTATATATATGTATATATATATATATATATATATATATATATGATAAAAATATAGTTTTAAAGTGTGCTATATTTATGACTTAAAGTGTTCCATATTAGGGATAGAGTGTATGTAAATATGAAAGTGGACATTGAAGTCAACACCCACTGGCAACAGTTTGTTGCATGCTTAAATGCAATTTCCAGGTTTGAAGATTGTGTTTAGCATGAAATAGTTTGTAAAACCTAGGAGATATTTTTGAGAAAAAAAGATCTTATATACTAGTAAATATTTTGTTTTTCGTATTTTAAAAAGACTGCAGAAAAGTTGGAGAAAAAATTATGGAAGGAAATGTGAGAAATCAAAACTTGTAAAAAAATATAAGTATTGGCAAAAATAATTTACAAACTTACGTTGTCTCAAAGATATCATCTTCTGTTAAAGAAGCTCTTTGTGAAGATGTTTCAAGGATAGTTTCATCATATGAGGGTGGAGGAACATTTATATAGTTTGCATGCAGTTCAGGAATTTTTTCCAGCACAGATTTGTCAATGGTTGAATTTGCCTGACACTGTACGATAAAAATATTGCATGGTTCATTCACCCCATTGTCTCCAATTGCCATTCTTGGAACTACAAAAATTGTTCTGGTTTTGTTCACTTCTCAGTTTTGTTTGAGTCCTTTTTAGGATTATTTAGGAAGCTGGTACTTTTTATGGAGGGGGAAAAAAAACCCAAGCTTCTTCAAGCCTGAACTGGACTTGGTTTTATCTTCTGGAACTGATTGAATTTTTGTGTTGGCAGGAGTTTTTATATAAACAAGTACATTCTTACACATCTATGTCTACACTTTCTAGATACTTTCTAAGACACATACTCACAATGGCATATTTATATACACACTCACCAACTTAACACACACACACATACCTAAATATATATATATATATATATATTACACCAGATAAGAGATGTGTGTGTGTGTGTGTTATATATATATATATATATATATATATATATATATATATATTTCTGTTATTCTGTTATCTATCTAGCTAGCTATATATATTACACCAGATAACAGATAGGTGTGTGTGTGTGAGTGTGTGTGTGATTATATATATATATATATATATATATATATATATATATTTTATTTCTGTTATCTATTATCAGATATTTATCTATCTATATATCTATGTATATATTCTGCTATCTATCATTGAATCTCTCTCTCTCTCTCTCTCTATATATATATATATATATATATATGCATGTATGCCAATGACATCATGAAACTATCTATGTATGTCAGACTGTGTTTATGTCTATGCATGCATGCTCATATATATATATATATATATATATGCACACAGACACACACAAGCCTGCATGCACATGCATAAACGCAGTTTGACGCACTCATTCTTGTAGATAGTTTCTGTGCTGTCATTGATGTCAGAAGGTATCATATTCCAAGTAACTGAAACCAGTTTTAGCCAGATTGAAATTAAAACCAAATTTAAAATTCAAATCTTTTCCCTTATACATTTTTATTTTTTTCTCAGAAATTGATTTGATTTGCTTTCTTCTGCTGAACTAACTAATTTTTTTTTCCTCATTTAGCAGACATCTGTGTGGATACCTGTGTTTGTTCACATGCCTTTGCGAAGATGTGTGAATTTTTGCACATATGTAGGCATCAGTTTTAAAACATAATTATTTACATTATACATGTTTTTATAAGCAAATCTCTATCCCATATATATATACAGGGTGTCCCAAAATAATGTATACATTCTTTAAATGTTAATAGTTAATAATACATTACCGTGATGTGAGAACTTATATGGATGAAAATATGCAAAACAGATGGATTGGAAGAAGACGGACAGTTGAATACCCACCTAGATCACCAGATTTGACACCCTTGGATTTCTTTTGTGAGGGTTTTTAAAAGGCAAAGTTTACAACAGGAAACCTGAAACAATTGCTGAAATGAGAGCAGCATTTGAAAAAGAATGAGCTCAAATACCAGAGGAAATGATACTGGACGTTTGTAAGTCTATTGTTTCAAGATATAAAAAGTGTATTGAACAGAACGGCAACAAGTTTGAGCACTTGATGTGAACTCATCATTATATGAACATTCTGCCATTGGCCCAAGTAGCTTTTATCTTATTAAAGTTAATTTTCTATGTTTTTTGTATATTTTACTCTCAAATTCTTTAAATATGTGTTCTTTCTCTTGTATTAATCTTATTTACGAGTCAAAATACATAAATTGAATAAGTTATAATGATTCAAACAGTGTATACATTATTTTGGGACACCCTATATATATATATATATATATATATTATATATATATATGAAGAAATATAGTTTTAAAGTGTGCTATATTTATGGGATAAAGTGCTCAATATCAGAGATAAAGCATATGTAAATATAAATATAAAAAATTATATATAAATTAGCCCAAACAAATAAATAAATAAACAAACAAGCCACTCCCATAAAAATAACCACCAGAATAGATTACCCACAATGCACTACTGACCTATATATATAAATAGCGGAGGAAAAACCCAGCATTTGTTGCCAGACGATTGTGTCCAGCATGAAACAGCCTGTCGCCTCTATATATATATATAATATAAATATTGGAGATTTGAATAATTTCATGTAATAATTCATCAAGTCTAGAACAAGAATCCTCAACAGAATGCAGAAAGCACTGGATGTCTGATTTGTCCTTTTTGGGATTCATCAGCAGTGTGCATCCACTACTGAGTATCAAATCTGGATTGTTACAATGCAATGCAAGCATCGTACCACTACCCTTGAGGCCAGTTCCAATGGGTTATGTATACTTGGATGAGCATCACCACCAGAATTAGGAGTAGCTGTGCTATACTGGGTCTATTTAGTTTCATCTTTGTCACCGTGGCCTGCTGGCTTAGTGGTATGATGCTTGCATTGTATCATAATAGTCTGAATTTGATTCTTGGTAGTGGATGCACACTGCTGATGAGTCCCAAAAAGGACAAAATGGGCATCCAGTGCTTTCTGTTGCAGATTCTTGTTTTAGACTTGATGAAATATTAAATACATTGATATATTAATACAGAGGCCAAAGAAATGACTGCCAAAATGGGGATCGGTGAAAGGATCCAAACAATACACGAAAAGCATGCATTCCTGATGGTCAAAGACCATAAAGATAATTTCTTCAATTGCCCTTCTTTTTGTTTAATTAAGCTAGCAAAAACAGAACTCGGAATTGTAAGCTATAAAATCTTACAGAATATTTGCAAGTCACTTAGAGTGGCCACGCAATTGAACCAGTGGCAGGTCACCAGCAAATGCATATCATGGTTCAACGAAATAAAGGATAAAGGCAAAATGGTATTTATCAAATATGATATTAATAATTTCTACCCTTCCATCACTGAGAAAAGCTTGCTTGATACCATATGTTTTGCAAAAAATTTTGTTGTTATAACTCCCCAACAGATTGAGATGGTGTGACATTGTTGTAAGTCTGCATTGTTCCACAAAGGTGAAACATGGATAAAAAAAAGTCCAGATATGGTAATTTCAACATTTCACAACCTTTTGAAGAGAATATTCATCTTGAACAAAATAATCAAAATTGTCCATCTCGACAGCCATGGTATCTATTGAGATGATGGTTTGATGGTAGTCCTTGACAACAAAAGAAATAATGACTCCATCAGGAGAAACTGTACAAAATGTTTAATAAGTTAAATTTCAAAATCACTGTCGAAATGAACAGCAAAACAGTCCAATACTTAGATGTTGACTTAAATCTATTGGCTGATATAATCTCACTATTCACAAAACCGAACACCACTTTAAAATATATAAATGCCAAGTCTAACCACCCAAAAAATGTAATCAAGCACATATCCTGAAAGGAGTTGAATACAGGATATCTAGAAATTCATCAACTGGGGAAATCTTTGAAGAGAATGAGTTTCAACACTTCATTCAAGTAACTGCATTCCAGATTATTTTTGCTTTGTTAAAGCAATTCAGGAATTAGATGCTGATTCTTCTAGCTCTGTGTTTATGGTGTCTTTTGATATTGCTAGTTTATTTACTAACATGCCTCTTTTGGAAACTATTGACATTTATACTCATGTCCTATATTGTGGTCATCTCTGTAACCCTGAAGATACTTTTAAGGAATTGATGCTAATTGCTACTGAAGGAGTTGAATTTAGTTACAGTTTTTAATGTATAGTCAGATTGATGATGTTGCAATGGGCAGCCCTTTGGGTCCAATTCTGGCAAATATTTTCATGAGCTTGTATGAAGATTGGCTTTTTGAAAATGTTCCTAGACCTACCATGTATTATTAGTATATTGATGATATGTATGCTTTGTTTAATGATGAACAAGAGACAATAAGTTTCCTTGATCAGTTTGAGAAGTTGCATCCTTCTTAAAGGTTTACAATGGAGAAGAAGAATGATTGCTTCCTACCTTTCCTGGATGTGCTTGTTCAAAGATCCAATAAAAAGTTTCTTACAAGTGTTTATCATAAACAAACATTTACTGGTTTGTATATGGAAATCTTTTGTACCAAGAAGTAGAAAGATCAATTTGATTAATACATTAATACATCGTATGTTAATGATTTGCTCCCCTGTAAGGTTGGAGGAGGACTTATGCAAAATAAAACATCCTCCTGGATAATGGTTATCCTAAGGGTGTTCTTACGTGGGTTTTTGCATGTAAAATTTAAAAATTCAATTCTCTTCCTATGCATGGTGTCATATTTACTTGAAATTACCTTGATTTGGAAAAAATCACAAGAATAAAAAAAACAGTCATGTGACCTGATGAGACTCATACAAGACATCATTAGATGGGAAAGTCAATCTTTCTCTTTTTGCTCCGTGAAGTTACAGTACCAAGACTCACAATGTCATGCTTGTGACAACAAACAGACAAATACAAAATTTATATAATTTTTGGTAGCAAGTCTTTTGCAAGTCAATGCATGCTAAGTTTATATTAAGAATTTCCAATATAAAAATATATATACAAATGTTTTTATATGAATACTTTTGTGTTTTCTTTGAACTTTTCATATATTCATATTGTATTCATAATTAATTTTTATTAAGGTTTTGTTTCAATTTTTTAATATAGATAGCTTCAAGAATTTTTAGTTTATGTTTATGATTTTCATGAAAATGTATTTTCAACAAGAATTTTTCTAAGTTGTGAATGTGAATAGGCATGCTGTTGTAAATGTTGAGAGATGCTAAATGCATTATTCAAATGATTGATGGGGGGGGAGGAGTCATTATGAATGATTAAATAGGATATATTGAATTTAGTACAGTATATAATTAATTTGACTTTTTACGAGGGTTTATGGTAGATATATTAATATTTATTAGTATTTTTTAGGATATTTTCATCCTGTTTATAGTTAGAATGTATTTGATTGTGATATAAAAGATTAATATGTCTAGGAGGAAGTTTGAGGAAGTATTATATTCTATTTGCTTTATATTAAAATTTCTAATAGAACATCTTGTTTGTCGACAATATAATTAAGGAAGTTATTAATAAGAGTTTATATTT